TGACACAACACAGCAGAGCAACACAACACAGCAGAGCAGCACACTGACACAACACAGCAGAGCAACACAACACACCAGAGCAACACAGTGACACAACACAGCAGAGCAACACAACACACCAGAGCAGCACACTGACACAACACAGCAGAGCAACACAACACAGCAGCACAGTGACACAACACAGCAGAGCAACACACTGACACAACACAGCAGAGCAACACAACACAGCAGCACAGTGACACAACACAGCAGAGCAACACAACACACCAGAGCAACACACTGACACAACACAGCAGAGCAGCACAACACAGCAGAGCAGCACAGTGACACAACACAGCAGAACAACACAACACACCAGAGCAGCACACTGACACAACACAGCAGAGCAACACAACACACCAGAGCAACACACTGACACAACACAGCAGAGCAACACAACACACCAGAGCAGCACACTGACACAACACAGCAGAGCAACACAGTGACACAACACAGCAGAGCAACACACAGCACATCAGCAGCGAAGCAACGCACCACGTTACAGCAACACAACGAAACACACAGCACATCAGCAGCGAAGCGACGCGCCACGTCACAGCAACACAGCGAAACACACAGCACATCAGCAGCGAAGCAACGCGCCACGTCACAGCAACACAACGAAACACACAGCACATCAGCAGCGAAGCAACGCGCCATGTTACAGCAACACAAAGAAACACACAGCACACCAGCAGCGAAGCAACGCGCCACGTTACAGCAACACAACGAAACACAAACAGATCCCGAGAAAAGCGGACCGACCCGTCTCCCCCGTCTCCAGACCCAGCTGTCGCTGTTCAGGGACTGTCTCTGTCGCGGCGACAGTCTCAACGTCGAATTTCATGTTTTTCTCTCCTGGTGCCAAAGTCTACAAAACGTCACAGCGTGTTTGTGTCTGAGCCCAATATTCTTTTTCTTTCACTTTCGCTGTTAGTCTGTCGGTCGACTTCATGGGCTTCCGAGAAATCACACGCGTACTCGTACAGGGCTGACGTCACACCCTGTTAAACACACACACACAC